CTGCATTAGTTCCAGATTCAATATCTTTTGATGTTTTTTAGTTATTTGAATGGCGTATGAAAGCGAAAATCAAAGATGCTATGTGCTGCTTTGTTCAGTTAGCAGTTCTGATGCACATTGCATAAGCTTGGACACCAGCAACCACCCAGGTAATTACCATACAAAAGAGTTTCAATATAAGGATATGTCTTATATTTTTCTTTAAGTTACATTCACACTGAGAAACCTGGGCACCACATAAAACAATGAAAAAAGGCAAAGATACGCCTGTCTGATTCTGCTTTACTTTCTGGGTGATTATTGATTATCTGTTTCTTTGCTATGTGGCTATAATAAAGGTTTGCAATTACCTTGTCCTCCAAAGGAAACCATATCTGTGAAGCAGCATAAACATAACACCGCTAACCATTAATTGCATTTAGGAGTGTTTTACTTCTCACCACCCGAAAGGGTAAATTATCTCTTAGTTTTATTTTTAGTATGCACACTTTAAAGCATGTCAGCTCTTCGCCTTGCCCTTGGTATGGTTGAGGTCCTTGCTTGACCACTTGAGATGAATCCCTTTCAAGTGACATTTTGAGTAAGATCAACTTACTTCCATGGTCATAGGCAAAGCACACCATTAGCATTCAGCAGATACGCACTCTGGTTCTAACTGCAAGCCCTTCACTCTACAACTGCTACGTGACCACATAAGATGAATACAAACTGTCCTTTGCTAACATTAAAGTGAATGATTGTGACTCCCATTGGAAGTACTCCTCGGATTTGGACATTTCAATGCTGATGGCCTTTGCATACTGCACATCCACTGGTTTCTCTCGGGTACAGATCAAAATGTGTGTGATGTCCACTGGAGAGTTTAAGGAAAAAGTTCCTTGGGTAGCATGATTAAAGGATCACAGGCACAGATATGTATGTTAAAGATACATAGAGGCTACATCCCAAGAAATAAACAATAAAAGAATTTATTTATTTTTGAATGTCTAATGAATGCAGAAACAAACTTTACTCAGAGCACCAGATTTTGGGCTGTCCTGATTTTCCCCACAGACAAAATGTCCATTGACAGTGACACTGGGCCAAAATGCAGACATTTTTCTCAGTCGTGCCATGTCAAAGTGACAGAAATCGACTCAGGAATTGAGTAATGGGAAAGAAATGTCGATAGTTTCTTTCTTGATGAGGTGGCAAGTGAAAATCCTGAGTCTTTCTTTACACAGTAGGAAAAGATTTAAAGTAGAATCTCTAAATTGACGTTAGACTGTAAAGTTCTCATATCGACCCATCCACTGTACTTTCCAGTCTGCACAGGTGTACAACATCTCCTCTAAGAGGACTTATTTGATATTACACACTAGGAAACGTGTTTTCGTCAATGACCGTAGATTTTTATACAGTCATTGGTTTTCTAAACCACCCAGTGCATTTTATTTCATATGTTAAATCAAATTTAAAGACTGGAATGGAATTCAAAACAACATTTTTATCTATATGAAAAGCGGAGATTTAAATAAAATAAGATGATACGTGACAAAAGTTGCATCAGAAACTTACTTGTAATACAACTTACTTGTGATTTTCGCCGCTCTTCAAAGAGCGAATCGGACATTGAGTTATCGGATAGTGTGACTTAAACGTTATTTACTTCTGTATTATTTTTTTTATTAATTTATTTACTTTTTTTGCGTTGAATTCTTTCCGGGTTGGAACTAATTTTCTTTACACCTTTTATCCGCCGGCGAACTGAATAGGTAGGACGTTCAGAGGCGTCACTTCCGCTCCACGTGAAAGGCTCCTTATAGTCCATGTGAGGAGCACTGTATATCCGAGGCGTATTGTTTTACGTTTTAACATTGATAGTTCACATATAGTCATCTCATGGTTATCGACAGCAAGACTATGGCGTCCGTAGAGGAGGAGGCGCTGCTCGGTCAGGATTCAGAGGAGGAAAACAGTGAATTATCGGACGATGAGGTCAGTTTCCTAACATGCTAGCATCGTTAGCTAACCACATTCCTGTTAAGTATTAAGGTTTTAAGCGTCACTGTGCCTGCTGTTTATAAAGGTAATCAAACAAACAGAGACCTGGTACTATTGTCAGTATCAGAATCTTTATTTTTCTTATCAAGCTTTTTAGATAGCAGGAAAATTCACGTTTAGTAGGACCGTGTAGTCTTGCTGTAGCAAGTGGTGGTTTAGATAAGTCAGAGTTAATATTATTCATCTTCATTTCATTGCCCAGCTGCAAGAAGCCTTCGCAGCGGGGTTGTTGAAGCCTGGGATGAACGTCCTGGTGGATAAACCCAAAAAGTTCGCCAACAATGTGGTGAGTGGCATCTCACATCTTCTGTTAGTAGCAAGTTATGCTACACAGGGATGGTCAACGTACTATAAACAACCATACCACTGAAATAGTTTTAAAGCAGCAATGGAACAGTTCTCGAAATTCCCTGTAAAGTGAATAATATTGTTACTTGTTGTACCTTTATTGCTCCTATGTTGTCACACAGGAGGGGTTGAAACAGTGTGTTGCTGATTTTCGTAAAGATCTTCCCTGGGTGGAGAGATTGGATCTGACCAACCTACCAGCTGCAAATATCATTTCTCAAGCTGGAGAGAAAGCTTCAGCGCCAGCCGCTGGGGAACTGGATGCTGATGATGATTTCCACAGGGAGATGTTCTTGTAAGTGACCGTTAATTCACCTCAGTTTTATTTATATAGTGCCTGCTCATAAGACAGAACCAGGGTTGGGGAGGGGCAGCCATCTGCTGCAACTGGTTGGTGGTAAGAGAAAAAGAAAAGGAAGCAGAGAGAGATTGGACGATAGGCTAAAAAGCATCACATATACTTGTATTTTGTAACCACACTAATATAGTTTGGTTACGAGTCAGACAAATAAGTCATTTTTTCTTTCTTTTTCTTTTTTCAGCTAAAGAGTTACAAACATGCATATGGTGTTGAATGTTTTAGAGAATAGCCTACAAAAAAATGCTGGAAAAATACAACACAGCTACAAAGAGACCATTCCAATTACTTTGTGTTTTTTGTTTATTTACAGCTACCGTCAAGCTCAGGCTACAGTCCTCGAGGCACTGCCACTCCTAAACAGGCACAGCATAGCCACCAAGAGGCCCGAAGACTACTTTGCAGAGATGGCCAAATCTGATCAGCACATGCAGAAGGTGAGCCTGGTCTCCTATATGATGCTCTTTTTTTTTTTTTTTTTCTCCTTACATGTTCCATAACACCTGAAACAGCATCACTGTAATTAAGTATTAGTTCTCACCCATATAGTAAAGTAATTAACATTTCTTTGCACATACTGGTTCAGGACCTGAGTTTAGTTCTTTTGTTCTGTCGGGCCTAAATTCGTATACTTTTTCATTTGTTGGTCTGTTCAGATCAGGAAAAAGCTGATCTCAAAGCAGATGATTATGGAGAGGTCAGAAAAGGCCAAGAAACTGCGCGAGCAAAGGAAGTTTGGCAAAAAGGTTGGTGACTGAGTTCAGAAATTCTTCTTAACACCTGTAAGTGTTATATGTGTATGATACTTCGACTGTACATGGCTAAAAGAATGACTCTAATTTTGAATTTTTTGCCAGGTCCAAATAGAAGTGATCCAGAAGAGACAGCAGGAGAAGAAGGCCATGATGTCCGCTGTAAAGAAATACCAGAAAGGTCGGTGTTTACAAGTGTAGCATGGATGTTATTTCCTTATTTCTTTTATTGTTTTGTCACTACACCAATTTGGACACGTCACTTATTGAGCACTGGGAACAACATCTTCTCTTTCTAGGAATGACCGACAAACTGGAATTCTTGGAAGGTGACCAGAAGATGAATAAAGAATCTTCTCAGGGCTCAAAGAAAGCAGTGAACAAAAAGGGGTAAGTTTGAACTTTTCAGCAGTGCACACAGCAGTCATTGCTTTTTTTCTTTTTGGTCCCACTTCAAATTTGTGGCATTTTTTACAATGAAACTCTTATTTATTTATTTTTTCCACAGGCCTAGCGCTAAGAGAAAATTCAAGGACCAGAAGTTTGGCTTTGGAGGCAAAAAGAGTGGAAAGAAGTGGAACACCAAGGAAAGCTACAACGATGTTTCCGGTTTCCGTGCCAAAATAGCTCACGGCAAGGGAGGGAAGAAGGGGAAAGGAGGAAAACAAAATGTGAGTCTCTCACACACATGGTTATCTATTGACTGTTTTATTCAAATGAGTAAATAAGAAAACAATTTCTTTCTCTTTGACTTCCAGAAACGTCCAGGCAAGTCTGTGCGCAAGAAGATGAAGAATCGCTCTTAGAGACTGGCGGGCTGCTCAGCAGACTGGACTTTGCACTCTGCTTTTTGGCAGGATTTGCCTAAAGGGACTATGAGCTCTTCTTCTACACTTTTTGGTACAATATACCTTTCGTACATGCATCTGGATTGATATGGAGGTCCATATTAATCATATTCAAACCACAGATGGACTGAGTCGAATCACACAGCTGGGGAAGCTATTCAAAGGGCCTGTAAAGCCAAGAATGGACTGCACACAGCTCCAAAATACAGAGCTTTCCTAAGGTTGAGAAGGACAATGTTATTTGCTGTAGATACCCTGATATTTGCATCTGTGGCTGCAGTTGTCCCTACCCTAAGGTGGTTTTAGATCCACTCTGTGATTACACCTCCGTATCTCCACCTTCTCAATGACACACTGTTCTCCTAAGGTTTGTGTGTTCTGTTTTACTTTTCTCACTCAGCTTTTTGACTCGTTGATTCTCTCCCATGTTACATGACATTTTATAATATTGAGCAGCTGTCAGCTTTGCCCTTTTCCATTCATTAGTATGATTAGTATGTGATGGGCGTGTGTGTTTTGTACAGACCTGTGCAAATGTTCCCCCCAAGTGTTTCTCTAAGAAGGGTCAGCTTCTGTGCTGACACCCGCATGTTTGATGAACAAATACATTTCAGTAGGCATTCAGTTTCTATTCTCTCTCTTTTGTGTGTGTGTGTGGGGGGGGGGGTTAATTTTGTGTTCTTTGGCCAAATTCATGGTGTTTGGTGACGTCTGTCATAAATCGGAAGAAATTGAATCTGGTGTCTTGGCGGGACTCCGGGACCTGGTGGAAAATAAATCAACAGAGTTAAGGTGCACGATTACATCAGCCTACTGGTGTTTACTGTCTTATGAAAACGGAAAACAATTTTCAAATATCAAAATAGCATGAATAAATGAGAAACAAATATCTGTATTGTGTTATTCTAGGCATCGTTGTCAGCCCAGGAATTTAAAATAAGTGTTTCCCTAATTAAAAGAGGAATGTTTGGACATGATAACAATGGTGTTCCCAATTTTCAAGTTATTCCACCAATAATTGTCGTTTACATTGGGCTGTGACAACGGCTTCTTCCCTGAAGTATTTTTTTTTGGGTGTCGCACCATTTGCTGCAGACATTAAATCAAACTAAACACATTAAATATCCCAGCTGTGTCTCAGCCATTTCTACTCGAGTTTGATATCCCACACCAGACTAAACACTGGGAAAGAATGGTTGGGGCAGATTCTTCGAAATTTACACAAGCGGGGTTTCATGACGTCTTCATAGTAGTGTTGGGGTTGTTAGTGTTAATTTTTCACACATTTAAGCTACAGTTTGTTCCAAAATCCACTAACAGAGAGTTTTACTCACCAGTGGAGTCGACATCCATCCTATCTCCTGGCTCTCAGTGAGTGGCATAGAATACTTCTTGGTAGGAACTTCGTGGGCCTTGCGGAAAGCCTTGATGAAATCCTCTAGAGGCCAAAAAAATCAAATTATAAAACCAACTTGTTTAAAAACAAATTTATATAAACGGAATAGGTGGATAGAATATTTCTCGCATTTAATTCCAATGGAAATTTTACCGTCCTCTGGAATCTCTTCCGTCGTTCTCCTACACATGGGTTTGTCTGGCAGTACATGCACTGTAACACAGCATACACACACACACATAAGAAAAGGAGGTATACAGTACAACAATTATACAGAGCTCTACAAAAGAGGACCAAACTGCCATGAAATGCACAGCACTCTGCTTTTCAGTGTCTGGCTCTTCCTAATAAGCACGCTGGACACTGAATCATAGTGTAACCTTTCTTGCAAGCACAGCTAAAGTGCTGAGGGCCCTGATTTTGGTCCCCTAATCGCAGTGAAATTCAAAAGGAAAAAAAACCCTGCCCAGTCACACTTTTCAGTAAGTGATAGTTCTTATTTTTATCATATTTTTGATGTGAGGGAGAAACGGAGCAAGAGGGGAGATTAGCTTACTTACATTTCCTGTGGGGGTTGATGCTGAACTCCGTGTGGAGCTTCTGGTGTCTTTGCTCTTTCCGGACCCGCTCGACGTGAATCGCGTCCCGATGGACCAAATCCAGTTTATCTTTATCTGCCATGTTGAGAGAAAAATAAAAACGCCGACAGTTAGGGTTGGATCAGCAGAAAGCCTTTCACTGGCCTTAAACTACGTATGCGCGTTACCTAGCAACAGTAAACACCACCTCATGCTGGCTGCAGTTGCGAGACTCGAACACGCGATGGCGCCATGCCCTCAGATTTGGTCATGGTGGAATGGTAACAGTAACAGTTTATATTAGACGATTTATGTAATCAAATGTATTTTATTTTGGAGGAAAAAATAATTAACTACTTTTCTTTTCATTGTTATTATTTTTCTAAATCCTCAATAATTCAGTCTGTGATATCAGCAAAGAGAAGTGACACTTGCATCTGACAGGTTAAACACTATATGAAATAAAAGTTGAAGATGTTTTGAATTGGTTGATTTTAAGCTGCCAATTCAAATCAAAGAAGAAATCACTAGTGATTTATTATGACATTGATTAGTTATTAATTACACATAATTAATTTGCCAGTATTGTTGCCTGTTAATTCTCTGTCAGTCTGTTTGATGAGGTCATTTCACCTCTACTCTTACCTCCTGGATACTTAGTGGCTGCGCAAACAATGAAATTTCTATGTCTGATTATGTGTAATAGAGACTCACCATGTGTGAAGGTCAGTATAATTAATCCAATGAATACACCGGGGTTAGGCTGAAATCATCCAACTTCTGGTTTCACAATTTAAGACTGATTTGCTTACTCAAATATATATTTCTCACTTTTGTTGTACATTTTAATGTGAAATTTTTAAGATGCTTTGCTTTGGCTGGATTCTGTCAGGCTGAACTCTATGCAGTCTAAATCATTAGCGTTTGCAGTGTGCAATTGCTATTCAACATCACTTTTGAATAGATCCTCCTAATGAATACTGCAAAGAGATAAAACCTTCCATTTAAAAGAAATATAAGAACCCCAAAACATTTGAGTCTTTTAGCCATGTATTGATCAGTTAGGCTTGGGGCTTAAGAGGTTAATATTTAATTCAATATTGAATATTAAATATTGAATAAAAACAAACAGTTTTTTTCACTATCAATCATTAATCATCAAAGTTACAGAAAATACCTGTGACTTGATGCCTTCGGGAAAGGTGGAGGCTGATCAAAATCCTGCACATCCTTTGGCTATGAGCCAGGATGCTTCTTATGCCCTTCTTCTGATGCAAGGGCATGGGAAGTCCAGTTTACACTGGATTTCATCCAAACCACTAAACCATGCTGAAAATGTTTGCCTGTAACAAACACACCCATCAAAACGTGGAGAAAGAGCTCTGAGTGAATAGCAAAACCCATCAGTTTAGAAATGTTGTTGTATTCCACAGAAAAAAAAAAACCCACTCTTTTTTTTGAATGAAAATGACATTCATTGAATCTCAAATACTGGAAATGGTTATTGACAAATGCTGGAAAATCAATGTAGGCGTACAGCGGCCCATTTATTAGGCCTTCAAGGCTGTGTTTGCTACAAATGGGAAATTCTTCACTGAAAACGTAGAAATAAAATCTGCTAGCTGAGTGTCTGCCACCAGCCCTGGTGCTCCAGATTTAAATAAAATTCAAGAAAACTGAAGAAGGAACGTACTACTCCCTTTACAGAATTCTGCATACTAGCTCTAGGAATGGAAATGGAAGGCAAACCTGGGCAAGGAGGAACTGTTGACACCTGACAGGTCCTCAGCTGATAACGTCATTAAATGGCATGTACAAAACACCAGTCTCGGAATCAACCAGCATAACTCCTGGATGCTGGACTTCTAGGCAAAACGCAAAGAAAAGGCCATATTTGATACTGCCTGGTTGAAGAACACAAACTCTGATGATTGTATGATGCTCACTCCTTCCACCCAGGAATAAGAACAGTTCAAGTCTAATATTATCACAGCATTCATTCCCATGATGAGTGTGCAAGTGTACATAAACTTCTGACCACAGATGTAAACAGGATAACAGTCTATCACTCTGTTTTGCAATGCCACACTACACCCTGTGTTGCTTGACAACCGATGAGGTTTTGTGGGAATAGTTTAAAGAAAATGCCCATCAAACACCTCCAAACTTTAGGAGGTAATCTCTAGAAAATCTCACTAAAGGTCTCTAAGCCTCTAAGTGCAAACTGGACTATTTTGTGACGAGACAAACATGAAAGTGAATCACTTACATTGCATGTCCACACTGAGAAAATATAGCCACCCCTGTTTACAGTGTGATCTTAGTTTGTACATGTTCTGTTGGGGCGACAGCTGACTGTTCAGGCATTTTGCTCGGTTCACTCACCAGGACTTTCCGAGTTACGCACACAAAGACAAACATGTTGTCACGTTTTTGCCGAGCACGCACAAGCCGACGACTGCACAAATATGTTTGTGAAGGTTTATTGGCCTTGAGCGTGTCACACTAACTGGAAACAAATTTGTAAGAATGCAACTGGAATGACAAAGAAGAGAAATTACCCAGTGACAAGCGCAGTGTGTTTAAAAACCAAAAGAAAGTGTAGTGGCATTTTTCACATTTCCTTGTACCGCCTTTGACTGTCCCTGCACTCTGTGGCGTTACAATTCACACATGAATAACGACCCTTTCACATTTATTAAATAGTACTTATGGTTGTGTGATTCCTGTGAAGGCACTGATAAACTTTCAAGGCTGCTGTGGCCTACGTTGTCTGATGACTTCTTACCAATTGTCTCCTCACATTAGGATATCTTATTTAATTTCCTGTTTCATTTGAGTTCCCCTCTTCGCCTTCCTCTTCCTCCAGCTCTTTCTCTCTTCACACCGTCCCATCTGCTCATCTCTGAAGCGATCACTGTGCTTTTATGCTCTCCCGTTTCTGTCTGTGTTGATTGTGGGAACTTTAACTCTGTGTGTGTACGTGCGCGGACGCTTCCTCTTGCACTAACAGACAGCTTAATAAAGGCTGAAATGTTCAGCTCTTGGTTCCCGTCTCATAACTCGATTCATGCTTTATTGGCACTGTGTGAACGATATAATAGAAACAGGTAATAACTCAAAATGTGGAACAGCAGGGCGGTAGATTTCAGCGTGGGTGGGTGACAAGTCCCCTGTGGTTTTTGTGTACGTGCGCGAGGAAGAGTGAGCAATATGTATAACGGAGGATGGGAGGGCTTGCGGTGTCAAGCCTCGTTCCCTGGCTCCTGTCACAGTGTCGGACCACGTTATCATCAAAGCAGCCACTGAGCTCCTCAGGCAGAGAACAGTCAAAGGCCAGTTTGTGAGTTTGTTCAAACTCTACTTGCCAAAGGAAGGTACTACAGATGGTGTGTGATTTAATCAAATATGACAACTCTTTCCCATTCTCCCCGTGTGGCATGCAGGTAGAAAGGAATCATTTTATGCCATTTATGTTAACTAATTCATGTTAGGAAAGTGGATCTAATCTCTTTTGTCCCTGAGTGTCAGCGGGAAGGGATCATTTTGTTTGGCTTTAATATGGTTTAGAAGAGATATTAATGATGAAACAAAGCTATGTGAACTGTGATGAAAGTATTATCCTGCCATGCTGCTTTGTCAGCCTGCCTCGTGAACACAATTTTAAAATTGTGGCGTTTAAAACATTCTTTTGCCAGCGTCCAGATGGTTATCAGGTAAATTCTTATCTTTTTTTATGTTTGTCTCTTAACTTTTTTTTGAACATCTAATTTGGCCAAAATATAGAGATGACAACCTCATGTACACTGGCACATGGAAATGCTCCTCTTTCATTCTCAGTCAGATCCACCTCTTACTGCCGCATCTGGTCTGGTGGTTTACCAGTGGCACTTCATGAACTACTGGTTGATGTCACAGTGTCTATGTGCTGTCTGTGTAAATAAAATGGACTATTAGCAAATTTGGTGCTATTTTTATAATAAATTAAATCATTGTGTTGCTTTGGCAATGACTGTAGTTTTTAGCAGTCATCGTTTAGTCATGGGTCCAGGTTCCTGTGCTAATTCATAATTTAATTTATTTTTTTCTTTCTAATGTTAGTTTTTGCAGTTAGTGGAATTGGCTAACTGCAAGAGTGCAAGAGAATGGATGGATGGATGGAATTGCTGTAGTCCTGCTGGAAAACTGTTCCACAGTTTTACTCCACAAATGGAAATTAACTATCTATATTACATTATATTGTTTGTCAATTAAGACACTTGAAGTTTAACTTTCCCCTGTGTTACTGTCCCCATCTCTGTCAAAAGGTTCAAGGTTCAAGGTTCTTTATTTGTCACATGCATAGTTATACAAGTATAACACACAGTGAAATGTAACCTGACACGCTCCTCGACATGTGCAAAAAAAAAAAAAAAAAGCATCCTCTGCAGATTTCCTGGTAGCATATTATATGCAGTTTTATTTTAAGAGGTGCACGAACTTCAAAAAAATAGAATGTAATTGCAGACTCTAAATCAGGGGTGGGTAATTCCAGGCCTCGAGGGTTTAGATCTCACCTTGGGTCAACACACCTGAATCACATGATTAGTTCGTTACCAGGCCTCTGGAGAACTTCAGCACATGTTGAGGAGCTAATTTAGCCATTTAAATCAGCTGTGTTGGTTCAAGGACACATCTAAAACCTGCAGGGCCCTCGAGGCCTGGAGTTGCCCACCCCTGCTCTAAATCCTGCACGATGAACCATTCCGACTGCTCTGTTTTTAGAAGTTTCCATAATGATTGACTTGAACTTTTGAATGTGTTGCCCCAGACTTTTAAATAGTAATCTAAACAAGCTAACAGAAATGAACAGTAAGCAACTAGCAATGTTAAAGGTGTTACTCTTTCTCAACGATATTTATCATAATTTTTACTCCAGTATCTTGTTTCCAAATTACATAAAATTTGAACAGTAAGTAAATCTATGTCTCGATGCATGATCGATCATCCAGGTAAGAAAATCACAGAAAGTTTATTCTATTCACCTGGATGCAGCAGTGGGAGAAACGTTTCATCACCTCGTCATTTGCATAATGAGAGAAACCAGCACCGCTGACTAACAATGATTTTAGGCAACGCTATGTCCGAAGGAACAGGATCAGCTTTTTGGGTTCAAATTTAATGTTCACTGCTTTCCAT